CGAGACAGTGTGGTTCCAATTAAGAGGAGCGTAATAGCGTTGAAAAATTGATAAAAAAAGACAACTCCGTTTTAGTGTCGGGTTTACTTTTAACGAGGAGAGCTCGAATACTTTAGCGGAGAGTAACCCGCATTTGTAAATTTTCTGTTTTTGTTTTGTATTTCTTGAGACAATCCTTGTATCATTTTTAAATTAATGGTAGGTTCGATTACGGAATGTTTTAGTATACAAAAAGCCTTTACAATTTACAAAGCCTTATTATAAGTAGAAATAAACATTTTAAAACATATTTTTACACAACGTTTCCTAGTCCCAATCTAAGCAACACTTGTACTATGAACTGATACGCACTTAAACATCTTTTTCTTTTGTAAATAAATACTTATTATACATATATAAACACCCAGAACACACTGCAAAATGCTATGTTCGCCACACAATATTTTTCCAGTAGTGGGGATCGATTCCACATCCTCTCTAGCAGGAGGCATGTACACTACCCCTACAATTGCTAATTAACATACAGAATTAAAAAAAAAAAGCAACATTACATTTTGTATCATTATAAGGTAAACTGACTGCGAAAAACGTACGGGACGGCGAACATTGTAAGACGAAAAAATGTATTGGCAAATATACGCCATATAGGTGTCGGATAAAAAAGCTATCCATGGTAAATAAAATCCCGAAGGGCAATGCTTTATAAATATTTAAATGTTGAATAAAAAGGAGTGATTAAGTGAAGAAGGCGTTTCATTTAAAACATACATACATACATACATATATATATATATATATATATCGAAATTTAACGTAACATACTTATCTTATTTACGTGTTATTAATGCCTTTTGCCTACAAAAGATTTCATGTAAAGCAATGCGTATATTTTCAAGGCAACTTTTCCTTTATCTTTATCTCGAGACACGTGCGTTGGTTAAAGGAACAAGTTTCACAACACTGAGTGCAATATGAGCCGTTTCCTTCGCTCTTCGTTGAAGTCAGAGCTTTGTTACCGTATACTCGACGTTGCGGATGCGCTGTGAAAAACTTCTCGAAAATATCCTTGTCTTGTACTAACTTATAATTAATGCCTCTCAATAGGTTCAGTACGATATAGTGAGTTTTGGAATATAATATAGAGTTGTAAGTTTTCCATCACGTGTAGAAACGTTAAATTAATTATGCTCTCATCGGGTAATGTATTCATACTGATCAGTATCAAGAGGATGCCGCGTGTAAATTATATTTTAATAAGTTGCGCGTGATAGCTCATTGTCCGGGCGCTCGGTTTAAATTCAATATACTCGAGCAATCCGAGTTCGAGCCCCGGTGCCGGCACCAACGGAATTGGTAATGTTAGTGCTTACTTATCACGTGATCAGCGGTGATGGAAAACGCCGTGAGGAAACGAGCATATTTTCGAAATATTTCGATATGTGAGCTCCCCAATCCGCAGTGGGGTCGCGTTATGGACTTTCCTTTGTACAGAGGAGGCCTTTGCCCAGCAGTGGGACATATATAGGCCGTTACTTTACTTTTTTTTTTTCAATTTAAGCTAATTGAAAACTCTTTTAATCTGTTGTGTGTTACATCTCAAAATTTGTTTTTTGGTTAATGAAATAAGTGTTACAGCGCTATATGATCTGCGCAATGTCACCATTGCAGTCAGAACTTCGATAACAATGTTTGACTCGATGCGAAGCATTGCGACTTATTTTGAATATGCATGTTGTAGTTTCGATGAACTCACTTCGCTAATGCTGCAGTGATTCTTTTTCATCTTTTAATGAATATGGGAGTGTAAACATTTTGAGAGATATCGATCTTACAACACGTTTAGTCAACAACAAATTATTTACGTTGCCAAACTCGGAGTATCGCGCGATCTTTATCCCATTTAAAATTAAGAACCATTCCGAAACGCAAACAAAATATATTTTGTATCGGTATTCACTTTTCCAAAGTTGCTATAAATCGCAGTCAGTACTTTTTACTTTTCAGACTTACAGAAATTTCAATCTGTCTTTTAAAATAATTATAATTAAAAATAAAGATCATATTCTCCTGGCACCCGAAATCGGTAAATGCCTTTTCTCAGTAAAAGACTGACCCAGGCCTTATCGTTTTTTTATGTGAAAAGTATCCAAGCGAGCAGGCGGTACTCCTCATGTAAGTGATGACCTACGCCTATGGACATCTACATCGTCATTTAAAAATTTGTGCCCCAGTTACCTCACTTACCAGACGCAACGCGAAAGCATAATACTTCCTAGTCGTGACGAAAATAGCTTAGGATGATGACTGAATCTGTTCTGTACAGTGAGATCGAACACGTTCTATATATTTTGATGATAAATATGTACCACTAATGTGTGATTCTGTTGCCTACATCAGGGAGCAACATAACGCCAACACAAGGGACCTCATTTGTGGCGTATACATATAAATAGCCGAAGAACGCAACGAGGCCTCGACTAGGCGGACTCGTTAAGCTTTTCCGTAAACAAGGGCTGCTTTAATTAGTCAGCCATGAGTGGGCGTTCACCCCCACGTATGGTTCAACCCTCCGTACAAGGGACGCTCTTGCGCTCTAGTGCAAGCGATGTTCACATAGTGTCTATGGTCCAGCGACGCGGCGGGTAAATTCTCGACAGCCTCGTGTAAAGGTCAAAGTTCAGGATGCGAGAGGCGTCGTTTCGCGTAAACACCGTTTGTTGTCACGCACGGGTCCAAATATCCAATATCCACACAACAGATTAAATAGAGAGCTGGCTCTTGCAACGTATCACCAGACCGCGATCCCCACTAACCTTCCACTAACTAGTTGCAGGAAAAAGACTTGAGTGCTTGTGTTATTATTGTGGCAAAACATGTGGGCAGTGAGAAAATAGCTCGGTTTTGTTATCGTTTATTGATGGCCGTTAACGGCCGGATTTCTTTCGTCTTGCAAAAACCGGCATTAAGTTTCCATTGTTTCTCGATAGTATTCGCATTGTAAGGATTGGTAGATAAACGCCTTTTTTTACAAAAGGTAAAAGTATCTAAATAACTGTGATAATAACATCTGATGTTGTGCCCATGGGCGGCGGTGATAGCTTACCATCCATATACATAATATATATATATATATATTTGAATGGAGACATTCTATGGTAATTCGAAAGGAACATTTTTTTATATGAGAAGGTGGCAGCGAGCTGTCTGTTCACTTGCAACACCTGCAGGGTTGCATTGCCACCTTTTAATAAAGTGGGTCCCGGCTGCCTGTGAGTGCACCAGACGAAACGCAGAAGTGTAACGCTTCTGTCTCACGCCGTTCTTCTCTGAAACCGTGGTATTTACCCGGACGGACCTGCCCATTCGTGCAACAGCCTTAAGTTGCAACTACGTTGCGAATTTCATAGCGTTCGAAATCCGAATATCGGACACAACAAAACCTAGGGCCGCTTTAGTCGATTTATACATGCGTCGGTGTGGACACACTGATACCTGTTGCACGTGCTTATGGGCGCAAAACGGGCCCGTGAATAAATTCAGCGCGGCTTAAATTTAAATACTCGAAACGCTACGCCGACTCAAACCGCTTTGTTATTGAAGTAGCAAATAATAAATATTTATATATTTGAGTCCGCCGACCTATATACGCACATAATAACGGTTAATATTTCGAATCACTTTGAAATATCAACAGATTTACCGTTACGTATGTGTTTTCACGTAAGCGGTGTAATAACTCTGGCTGGATACAGTCTTTCTTCGCAAATCTCGCTCTATAAAGTGTTGCTAGTGCACTGGTGATTAACAAAGAAATGCACATCGTAAATCTTGTTGTGTGTACCAGTGTTTTTCACAGATATTTATCCTTACAACACATTCTATCATACAATTGCCATAAACTTTACTTTCTTTCTTTTTATTGTAAGCAGTTATTGGAAATGTTTAATTGCGATGCTGAGCATGTACAATCGTCAAGCATCTAGGCTTTAATAATTTCAACAAAAATGGGTATGGGTATAAAACACATAGGGTGTAGATATCAAAGATGTCACAGTTAAGTGATTACATGTTATATTAAGATAGCTTCCACCGAATTGGGAGAATAATTATGATTATGCAATTAAGACACGGGAAAGAAGAGTTATTACTCTTTCACATGTCCTATTATGTCTTTATTTCATATGAATAAAATATCTTTATTTTATAATCATATGAATATAGTACAGATTCTTCTAACGTTTTCTTTACTTAGAAATTTCTATAGTTTTTTCTCTATTACATTTAGTTTTTGGTGTGCCACGTAGTATGACAACCATAGGGCAGAGTCACAACTAACCCAATGGTGTAGATGCGGTGACTTAGGAGCGTGCTTTGTGGATATGTAACAATGTAAGAATGTTATGTTAGTAATTGTAGCATTATAACTATAACGGAAACTAGGGTGTAGCTTCCCAAACTTCACCAGCTATCTGCAATTTAAAAGCGTCGGACTCCCCGTCGCCTTAACGCAGTCATATTGACACCAAACAATTGACCGCATTCAAGTTTCTTCCAGATGAGGGGTTTTCATCATTATTATAATATAATAGTTCGTTTTCTTTCTTTCATAACTAACCTATAGTTGAATGTACCCACGACGGCAGTTGTAATTTTGGTTAACGTCCAAGACTAGTCTAGTCTCTCTTCTTATTATTAATCTACTTCAATGAATAAAGCATTGATAACTCCGTGGCGCAGAGGCCAAGGTAACGGCTTCGGCGTCGAGGGTCGTGGGTTCGATTTCCACACGGGACAACTCTTTGTGTGACCCACAGATAGTTGTTTTGCATCTGGGTGTTTGTCCACGTGAAATGTAAGTTTTTAAAACGTCCTTACAATACAGGATAACGTTATCCTAAAGTAAGGGCAATGTTTTTTTTAATAAAGAAAGAAAAAGAAAGCTTTCCGATGAAAAGACGTTATTCAGATACTAAGTTCATATAAGATATTCAGATACTCACTCGGTACAGAGCCGCCAAGTGATTCGATGTGGCGATCAGGAATGGCTGGTTGACACCTGGATGGTCCAAATCGTGTGCGATCGCTGCCAGGAGAGAGGCCATTATCTCCTGCGGCTCCAGGTATTGGAGAATCTTTGGGCAAGAGAAAAAATCAAAATTAACGAATAATTATTGAAACAACGGTCATTAAAGTGAGAGCTACATATCTTCCAAGTACCGAACATTAAGTACATATCTACGAGCACGAGAAACCAATAGAAAGAAAAAGTAAAGCGTCAACCTATACATGTCTCACTGCTGGGCAAAGGCCTCTTCTGTACAGAGGTTACATCGCCCACCACGCGGCCCCACTGCGGATTGGCGGACTTCACATATCTTCGAAATATTTTTTTTTGTTATTATTTCGGAAAATATGCAGGTTTCCTCACGATGTATTCCTTCACCGCTGAGCACGTGATAATTCGGCACTTAAAATTAACAATAACAATAGAAAGAAACAAATATTTATTCGGCGCATTACATTACAGGGGAATAACTAAGAACAAGAAATAAATATAACGCGTACACAGCGTATACCCGGGTTCGAGGGCGTTCAACCCTTAATTCAGTCAACTACCAAGGGGCTCACGACCCGTACGGACCTCATTAGGCCGTAGCTCATATTAGATAACATAGGCATAAACAAATTGCACAGCCCTAATCAACGCGGTGTTAGCCTGCGGGCTCTACATTCCATGAAACTCGAGGTGATATGAACGGTGGGTTTCAATACTTAATGTATTGAAAAGATAGATTATAGAAAGATAGATTTGGTTACTTGAGATAGAATATTTTTTTACGTAAGTAGTATGCAGCTATAGTCACACTAGTAACAAAGTCTATCTGTAAATTGAATAATGAAACTTTTACATATTAGTCTACGGATTGAAAAGTCATTAGTCAAACTTAAGTTAGCAAGATTAGGGGATTAACTAACTAGTTTACTTGAAACATTACATAACTACTAGATTACTTGAATTTTACATCACGGGCTACCACACGACATGTGGAATTAAAAGTTTAGAACGCATTAAAAAACCAATTGTGCAGTTAGAAGTTTCGATGGTAACAACAGACTGGTGGTTGCGATGTGTAAGTTTGCAAAGTAAATATTGGTAAGCTTTCATATATGGCTTAGACTGACGTGTATAAACGAATGGTTAGGAGTTTGGGCAAACATAGGAGTACTAAGTGTTTGATAGTTTCACGGCAAATTTTTTAACAATATTCGATAAGGTTGGATTACCCCAATTCAAGGTGTGTCGAGCTCTAGTGATTCAGTTAGAGTTAGTATATATGTACTCGGTTTTGATGAACGTTGAATTAAACAAGTCGCTATTTAGCTTTAATATTATGTGGAAGAGATCAAATTAAATGTAGAAACGTAAACATGAAATCAGGCCAAATTGTGACGCAGAATAAGTGACTCATTAATGAAAACAGCAAATTAATTTCACTCGCGTGAGTAGACTCGCGTATGAATATTAATTTAAACTTTTTTTTTATTATAAGTACTTTAAAAAATATCTTTTAGAATTTGTAATATTTTATTTTACCACTTGTGAAGGTTTCTGTATCAATTTGATCTAAAAAAGGGGGTAACTAAAAAAAAGTTAAAGTAAAGTGGCGGCCCTCCGTGTAGAGCAGATCACCACCAGACCCCCACTGCCGATTGGCAGACTTCATTCCTTTTAAATATTTATTTTGGCATTACGAAATTATTCCGGTTTCTTCACGATGTTCTCGTTCACCGCCGAGCACGTGATAAGCCAGCACTTAAAATTAAGAATTTCATTGGTGCCGGCACCGGGGATGGAACTCAGTTTGCTCGAGTGCATTGAATTAAACGCGTACGCCCGGACACTAAGCTGTCACGACCTTTGACGTTTTCTGAATTGACATATAATTTACATCATCATCATTTCAGCCTGTTCGAGTCCACTGGAACATACGCCTCCCCCACAGAACATAAACTTTAAAGCTTTTCATTGGCGATACATTTGAGATGTAGACTGGATTGCGTAGAAAATACATAAAAAACGAACGAAATATGCGATACCTGCTTGTAATATAATGGCGCGAAAACGGAGAGATTAAATGCTAGCGGGCTGTATAATATATGACGATCCTCGCCGGACGTGAGCTCAACGGGAGCTGCGGTCTATGATCGTAGATAAGACTCGTACAGGCTTTTGAGACTGCGTGTGACCCCGACCGTGCCCAGAGAGGCCCCTTGTTCCCGGCCTTCGGTTACTTTGTCAGATTATCCGGACGAGACGTGACGCTATGCTGCGAGCGGTCAGTGTATTGCGCACTCGAGATCAAAACCCGATAAACCCGAATATAGATTAATTACGAAGTACAAGATGCGCAATGTCAGGCGATTTACATCGCACCACACTGGCCCCGGCTTGGTAACACCACCACAATGGAATAAAACTGTCGGGTAGAGCTAACACTTCTGTTGGAAAAGACTTTCGGGTGTGGAAATATGTTTGTTGTGAACTTTAATAGAACTAAGCGTTTTAATACGAGTACGTAAATTGTATACTACAGCATCAAACGCAATGTGGTACCCAAAGCCCGTGACACTAATTAACCTTAGCGCCATTCACGTAACATTTTTCACGGAGATTACTAGTATCATTGGTGAAGGATATTCTTTTTAAAAGCAGTATTTTACGGCGATTGTGAATTAATATTTATACAACGACCTCGAGGTCATTTTGAGATATTATGTAGGTCTTATAGATTGCGAACATTATTAAAATAAACGCCAGTTACTACATCCCCATGTTGCGGAAGCGTAACTTACAACCGAACCATAAACTAATCTGTGTCGGTTATATTTGCATTCCGTCTGAGCACACAAAGTGTTTATCACCCCTCCATCCCACTATCGATGAAATCGTACAAATTCCACTGTTATGATTAAAACGATCCCAATGTATTGACATTGGGTCATTGGACCCGAAGGAATAGATGCAGATTTTTTTCTTTTTTAGTTATCGCCTATGTTTACATTTATCTAATTATCTGCCAAATGCGTAGTTATTTGTTCATCAGGAGAATTTCGCCAATTGCCTCTAGATTTAACAGTGTCTGTTTGATTCGGATAACCGGCTTATTATCGATCGATTTTTTTATGTTCATTTATTAATGGTCCAACTGTTTATTCTTTAAATCTATTATTAGGTTTGAATATCTACGACAATATAATATAATTCAATATAACATAATATGGTAACTTACGAACGTATAAATTTTTATGTAAAGTTTTGACATTTCATAAGAACGCGCAAGCGTCTATGTGAATAAATATATATTTGATTTTGAATTTGATTTTAACAATAAGTTATTGCACGTACCGAAAGATCTCACCACACCACAAGTTGACTGGTAGAGAATGCCGTATAAAATTAAGTCCGCCTTTTGTGTTCTTCGATGTCGGAGGTTTAATAAGGATTAAATAAATAAATAAATAGATTTATTTAAGACCCGGTACGAGATTTATTTATTTTCTCCATTCCAAATAAATATTTCCAACGTTATCATATTGTTATGCTATGCTGATCAACTTCAAATTGCAACTCAAAACTTGAAACAATATTACATTAACATTTATTCAAATGTGACGGCTCACGTTTTATATTTTGGTTTTTTATATCAACAAAATCACAATTAAATAAAAGAAGTTGCAAAGGTGAAATAATTACGGACACTGTTTCTTTATATAAAGTACGCAGTCAAGAGTCAATAACTAAAAAGTAAGTTCTAGAAAGTTATTAAACGTGAACTATAAACGAGATCGAGCTTGTGTTCAAACAGATTCTATTTGTTTGTTGCTTGAACAGATTCTATTTCAAAGGGAAAAAGGAAAATGAACCCATCGCATTGTGTAGCAATCCCCTGCTCAACCCTCGAACCAATAAGTGAAAGCCTGAATTTATTTGTATTTTTTATAATTTAAATGAATTAAAAAAAAAAAAAAAAAATAAAATATGAAAAAGGATATTACTAAAGGGCCGAATACTGAAACGTTACTTTAATATTCAAAGGCACCTTATACATTTGAGCAGCTCGTAAACACTAAATTCGTCAAGCCAAGTTGTACCTAAACGCTACTAAGTGAAAATTTCGTATACTGAAACGCCACTTAAAGCTATTTAGCTGTCACACCAATTCAATTGTCAAATCAAAACAATCTTATTATATGTAGTAAGTAAGAAACTAATATCATTAGTAATCAACTTAACTTGACGAATTTAGTGTTTACAAGCTGCTAAAATGTTTAAGGTGCCTTTAAATATTTAAGTAACGTTTCAGTATTGCCCTACTTCCTTAAAAGAATATTACTCGAATATACTCTACTTATTAATCTGAGCAAAGCTAGATCTTATGATGGCAGTATTACCATCAAGACTGCAAGGTGATGACCATAAGAAAAGATCTTAAATGATTTAAAAAAATGAGATAGTAGATAACACATAATAGGTTTTAAATTAGCCATGTCTGCGAGCTGCCAACGAAGTACAAAAGACGCTTTACGTCGAATTTGCACCATTGTCTAGCTCGACCGAACGTGTCGTCGTCCATTCCGACGGTGCGGTCTCTTGTAGAATTAAGACTGCGCTAATTCCTAACGTCGGAATGTCGTCCCCTGGACGACATTCCGACGATTCTGGGGACGTCTCGAAGGGCCCTTTGTTGGCGCTCACAGTCGCATCGATTTTGTTCGCTACACGCACCGCACCGAAATTGCTTTCAGCAAAGTAACGACATTACAGCGCAATGGCACCGTCCGTCGCTCCGCTCTTTGCAATTGACTCATCCGTACCTATTCGTATACCGACTTTGAACAAACCGGACAATGCGAAGTGCACTACGTTTGGACGTTCGTATCGTCGCGGAAAGCTCAACTGAAAGTCCGGAATGCTCTTTGAGGATTTCACGTGCTCCTATACCGGCCTGCTCCGATTTTGCGAACATCCCATATAAAAGTGAAATATAGTTTATTTAATTTGTAAATTGTCATATTCGTGATTGATTAACAAATTTCTTTTGCTACTGTTACTGAAGTTCACTAACGTCAA